CTTACCTTGAGGTCATCCTGCCGTGCAGGTAGTGGGGGCAGACCACGTTCAACGCGACGCAATTCGACTTCTTTCTTTGCCCTTATCTCCTCCAGTCGCAGTTGTCTCTCTCCTTCTTCCCGCTGCAGCCGAGCTTCTCGCTCCTCTCGCTGCAGCTCAGCCGCACGTTCCTCTCGCTGCAGCTCAGCCGCACGTTCCTCTCGCTGCAGCTCAGCCGCACGTTCCTCTCGCTGCAGCTCAGCCGCACGTTCCTCTCGCTGCAGCTCAGCCGCACGATCCTCTCGCTGCAGCTCAGCCGCACGTTCCTCTCGCTGCATTTGCGCTTCTCTCTCCTCTCGTCGCAGCTGGGCTTCCAGTTGCATCTTCATTATTTCCAGTTGCAGGCTCCTCTTACTACAGCTGGACCTTCCACTGCTCCCATGTTCACTGTGAATTCTCTCCACACTGGTAGGCGCTTGGGGAGGCCCTAGTCGGGACGGTTCACCTTGCGACGGCTCTCCTCGGGACGGCTCCTCTTGAGATGGCTCCTCTCCCGTCGCTTCCTCTCGAGCTGTGAGCTGTGCCATGATCTCTATCCTTCGCTCCGCTACCTTAGTCGTCCTCAACCTGATCCCAAAGTGGTTTGCCACTTGTTGGAGCTGGGCCTTGGTACACTCCTCCAAAATTCTCTCGTCTCTTGTGTCAATAAATTTCTTTACTTTGTCTTCCTCCATCTCTATATCATTGAGCATACACGACAGCACAGACAAGTTAGTAGGCACTAATTTCACCGTTTCAGTCCCTTAGCCGGTCGAGTAAGAGTACCACCGAATTCACTGGCCACACTGTATTAGTACCCTGGCAACACTTGTCTTGAAATTTGGTCCACACTGTAGCTTGCTCCACGCTTCCTGGCGAGGTTCCCAGTTCTTGGCTACTGGGGTTCGAATCCTGGCAAGGTCGCCAGTTCTCTTGTCACGTGGGGGTGGGCAGTCCGGGGCTCCGCTAACACTTAACTGCTAGGGGCTCAAAAGCCCAAATACTCAGCCCCTCCGACTCCCTGGATTCACCGGAGTCTCCTTGGTCACACAAGAGAGGACCAACAATGCCCACCTCCGCAGGTCTTTGCTTCCACCACAAAGGGGTGCCACTGATTCACCCTGGAAGCCCTTCAGTCAAACACGGGGAAACTGCTGTTAACAGTTCCGGCCTAGACCCGTGGGGGAGTGAAGGAAGACTCAGGCTTACCTATAACCATAACCTCCCTGAGTCTTGCCTGCCAGACAAAAAAAGGTTGCAGGAACTCCTTTCCCGCCTGTCTTCTCTATCTTCCTCTTAGCAAGGTCGCCAGCTGGGTTATTATATCTGCACCCCAGCAATGCAGTTCAGTGGGTGTATTATATATTGTTTGTAGCCAGAAATGTATGCTCATAGAGAATTATCATAAATGGAGGCACACTCAAACACAGTAATAAAATGTGTGGATTTACTGATGCAAATTACATGAACGCACACACACAATCACAAGTAATACATGAATGTGGAATATGGATAATGAGCCTGGAGATCGTCAGCCTCTTCTCCCACGACCATCCAACACTCCTTCAACTGGGCAGGAAGACAGGAGTCTCACACTCTCACAGGAGGGCCTCTTCACCACGTCGGCACCTCTTCTTCACTGTCCTGCCATCCATACACACTGTCCTCTCTGACAGCCCTGGACACAAGCTGCTTTGCAGCCTACTCTACTATTAAAGTAATAAAGTCTTGCTGCCACATACACAAGTAAATATTGTGGCCTATCTAGCCTACTCATACAAGGGGTAATGGGAGGGAAAAATGATCTACCTTACACTCCTGGCTCACGACGCCTGTCCCTCGATGGTGTGAGGTTCCCACGCTTCCTTGGGTCGATCCTCGACGATCCAGGACGTTCCACAGGTCCTCAGGTGTCGTGAAGCCTTCGCGTCGTCGCCGTTCCAATCCCTGAGATTCAGCTGCCCCAATCCTGGTTCATCGATGGGCGCTGAGCTAATCACTATTTTTCCCCACACTCGCCTCTCCCACAGGGCGTCGCTCCTTGTCCTAGGCACGGTGTCGTCCTTCCAAGATTCTCAGTGGATGTGACCCCAGTCACAGCTGGGCTTGCTCGCCCCACCTTCCAGACCTCAACGTCCAGCCAGCGGCGCCGCCCAGCGTCGTCGCCGACTATTTTCCAAGTTTGGCACTTCTCTGCTCACTGAACTTGGTTCCTCTTTGGCTTCCCAGAAGCGCAGGGTCTCCAATAACTGTGATGGGCTGCGAAGGCCAGCTCAATCCACTGAACAAGGCTTGCAGAGCCTCCAATCCTTGAGAGCAGACCGAGGCGCGTCCTGTCGCTTCCCAGGTCAGATCAACTCTGACGTTGGCGCCGCCCGGGGCACTCGGTGACGTCATGGCGGGCCCTGATTTGTCGCCCGCGACCTACGTCGGCCAATCCGCGATCGGCTTGTCTCCCTTCCAAAAGGTCATATCTGCCGTAGGGGATACTGTTTCATTTTATAACAGGGCGCCAATTTTCCTTTATTTACAACTTATAATATAACCTCCTTCCATTAAATGGCAGCCGGTCTGGTCGCCACATATACCATTAGACTCCCTGAACCTCAGAGAGTCAGTAGGGAGAGCTGATATGACTCTTTAAGCCGGCAAACGAAAGAAATAGGAGAGGGCACCGTAACAAAGATGGTTTCGGGGCTTAGCGTCCCCGCGGCCCGGTCATGGACTATAGATGACTGACAAGGTCATGTCTACAGGTCACCAAGACAGTGCCCAGATAGCTGTGTACCCTGGAGATTCACCACCCAAAGGCAGGCGGGGCCAAAGAGCCAAAGCTCAACCCCCGCAAGCATCTCAGTCACCTGTGACACAGTCCACCACCTCAGTCACCAGCGACACAGTCAACCACCTCAGTCACCAGTGACACAGTCCACCACCTCAGTCACCAGTGACACAGTCCACCACCTCAGTCACCAGTGACACAGTCCACCACCTCAGTCACCAGTGTCACAGTCCACCACCTCAGTCACCAGTGACACAGTCCACCACCTCAGTCACCAGTGACACAGTCCACCACCTCAGTCACCAGTGACACAGTCCACCACCTCAGTCACCAGTGTCACAGTCCACCACCTCAGTCACCAGTGACACCACCACCTCAGTCACCAGTGACACAGTCCACCACCTCAGTCACCAGTGACACAGTCCACCACCTCAGTCACCAGTGACACAGTCCACCACCTCAGTCACCACCACCTCAGTGTGACACAGTCCACCACCTCAGTCACCAGTGACACAGTCCACCACCTCAGTCACCAGTGACACAGTCCACCACCTCAGTCACCAGTGACACAGTCCACCACCTCAGTCACCAGTGACACAGTCCACCACCTCAGTCACCAGTGACACAGTCCACCACCTCAGTCACCAGTGACACAGTCCACCACCTCAGTCACCAGTGACACAGTCCACCACCTCAGTCACCAGTGACACAGTCCACCACCTCAGTCACCAGTGTCACAGTCCACCACCTCAGTCACCAGTGTCACAGTCCACCACCTCAGTCACCAGTGTCACAGTCCACCACCTCAGTCACCAGTGTCACAGTCCACCACCTCAGTCACCAGTGTCACAGTCCACCACCTCAGTCACCAGTGTCACAGTCCACCACCTCAGTCACCAGTGACACAGTCAACCACCTCAGTCACCAGTGTCACAGTCCACCACCTCAGTCACCAGTGACACAGTCCACCACCTCAGTCACCAGTGACACAGTCCACCACCTCAGTCACCAGTGACACAGTCCACCACCTCAGTCACCAGTGTCACAGTCCACCACCTCAGTCACCAGTGACACAGTCCACCACCTCAGTCACCAGTGACACAGTCCACCACCTCAGTCACCAGTGACACAGTCCACCACCTCAGTCACCAGTGTCACAGTCCACCACCTCAGTCACCAGTGACACAGTCCACCACCTCAGTCACCAGTGTCACAGTCCACCACCTCAGTCACCAGTGTCACAGTCCACCACCTCAGTCACCAGTGACACAGTCCACCACCTCAGTCACCAGTGTCACAGTCCACCACCTCAGTCACCAGTGTCACAGTCCACCACCTCAGTCACCAGTGACACAGTCCACCACCTCAGTCACCAGTGTCACAGTCCACCACCTCAGTCACCAGTGTCACAGTCCACCACCTCAGTCACCAGTGACACAGTCCACCACCTCAGTCACCAGTGTCACAGTCCACCACCTCAGTCACCAGTGACACAGTCCACCACCTCAGTCACCAGTGACACAGTCCACCACCTCAGTCACCAGTGACACAGTCCACCACCTCAGTCACCAGTGACACAGTCCACCACCTCAGTCACCAGTGACACAGTCCACCACCTCAGTCACCAGTGACACAGTCCACCACCTCAGTCACCAGTGACACAGTCCACCACCTCAGTCACCAGTGACACAGTCCACCACCTCAGTCACCAGTGACACAGTCAACCACCTCAGTCACCAGTGACACAGTCAACCACCTCAGTCACCACACAGTCCTCAGTCACCAGTGACACAGTCCACCACCTCAGTCACCAGTGACACAGTCCACCACCTCAGTCACCAGTGACACAGTCAACCACCTCAGTCACCAGTGTCACAGACACAAACCTTCAAATCTCCTTTTAATTCATTGCTGAAGGAAAAGAATACAAACTTTAAAATCTTAAAAAAAATATATATATAAATTACGAACAAATGATAAGTTCAATAGTAAGAGCTTGGCTGATGGAACTGAGCTGGCGGGGGTGGCTGAGCCGCGTCCCCGTGGTCAGGCTGCTGTGGTCCCGACACCACAGCAGCTCCTTGACCTGGTGGTCCTTGGGCGTGGGCGTGATCACGCTCCTCCTCGTGGTGACTGTCTGGCTGGTCTTCCTCAAGGCCTTCAGTACACTCATCTCCTACGGACAGCGGGCGTACTCGCGCTATCGTGAGGTGTCCTCCGCCCTGATGAGGGTATCGTCGAGCCCAGACGAGCTGTCCTCTACGGGGACGATTGTATCGTTGGGCCCAGACGAGCTGTCCTCTACCGGGACGAGTGTATCGTTGGACCCAGACGAGCTGTCCTCCACCAGGACGAGTGTGTCGTCGGGTACAGACGAGCTGTCCTCTACCGGGACGAGTGTATCGTTGGGCCCAGACGAGCTGTCCTCTACCGGGACCAGTGTATCGTTGGCCCCAGACGAGCTGTCCTCTACCGGGACGAGTGTATCGTTGGGCCCAGACGAGCTGTCCTCTACCGGGACGAGTGTATCGTTGGACCCAGACGAGCTGTCCTCCACCAGGACGAGTGTGTCGTCGGGTACAGACGAGCTGTCCTCTACCGGGACGAGTGTATCGTTGGACCCAGACGAGCTGTCCTCTACCGGGACCAGTGTATCGTTGGCCCCAGACGAGCTGTCCTCTACCAGGACCAGTGTATCGTTGGCCCCAGACGAGCTGTCCTCCACGAGGACGAGTGAATCGTCGGGTCCAGACGAGCTGTCCTCTACCAGGACGAGTGTATCGTCGGGTACAGACGAGCTGTCCTCTACCAGGACGAGTGTATCGTCGGGTACAGACGAGCTGTCCTCTACCAGGACGAGTGTATCGTCGGGTACAGACGAGCTGTCCTCTACCAGGACGAGTGTATCGTCGGGTACAGACGAGCTGTCCTCCACCAGGACGAGTGAATCGTCGGGTACAGACGAGCTGTCCTCCACCAGGACCAGTGTATCGTCGGGTACAGACGAGCTGTCCTCCACCAGGACGAGTGTATCGTCGGGTACAGACGAGCTGTCCTCTACCGAGACCAGTGTATCGTTAAACCCAGACGAGCTGTCCTCTACCGAGACCAGTGAATCGTTAGACCCAGACGAGCTGTCCTCTACCGGGACGATTGTATCGTTGGACAAAGACGAGCTGTCCTCCGACCAGGACACAGACCCCACCTGAGACAACAGACACACAGACCCCACCTGAGACAACAGACACACAGACCCCACCTGAGACAACAGACACACAGACCCCACCTGAGACAACAGACACACAGACCCCACCTGAGACAAGGGACATACAAGAACCCAAAATAAAGAAGAAGAGGACATGACCCCACCATGAGACAACACACTGAGACACAGACACACAGGCCCACCTGAGACAACAGACACACAGACCCCACCTGAGACAACAGACACACAGACCCCACCTGAGATAACAGACACACAGACCCCACCTGAGATAACAGACACACAGACCCCACCTGAGACAAGGGACATACAAAAACCCAAAATGAAGAAGAAGAGGAAGATGAAGAGGGAAGTGCCCGAAATGCCATGGGGGGTTGTGGTCACACAGGCCCCACCTGAGACAACAGACACACAGGCCCCACCTGAAACAACAGACACACAGACCCCACCTGAGACAACAGACACACATACCCCACCTGAGAAAACTGACACACAGACCCCACCTGAGACAAAAGTAACACAGACCCCACCTGAGACAACAGTGACACAGACCCCATCTGAGACAACAGACACACAGACCCCACCTGAGACAACAGACACACAGACCCCACCTGAGACAACAGACACACAGACCTCCACCGACATACAAGAACCCAAAATAAAGAAGAAGAGGAAGATGAAGAGGGAAGTGCCCAAAATGCCATGGGGGGTTGTGGTCACACAGGCCCCATCTGAGACAACAGACACACAGGCCCCATCTGAGACAACAGACACACAGACCCCACCTGAGACAACAGACACACAGACCCCACCTGAGATAACAGACACACAGACCCCACCTGAGACAACAGACACAATGACCCCACCAGAGACAACAGACACACAGACCCCACCTGAGACAACAGACACACAGACCCCACCTGAGACAACAGACACACAGACCCCACCTGAAACAACAGACACACAGACCCCACCTGAGACAACAGACACACAGACCCCACCTGAGACAACAGACACACAGACCCCACCTGAAACAACAGACACACAGACCCCACCTGAGACAACAGACACACAGACCCCACCTGAGACAACAGACACACAGACCCCACCTGAGACAACAGACACACAGACCCCACCTGAGACAACAGACACACAGACCCCACCTGAGACAACAGACACACAGACCCCACCTGAGACAACAGACACACAGACCCCACCTGAGACAACAGACACACAGACCCCACCTGAGACAACAGACACACAGACCCCACCTGAGACAACAGACACACAGACCCCACCTGAAACAACAGACACACAGACCCCACCTGAGACAACAGACACACAGACCCCACCTGAGACAACAGTGATACAAGAACCCAAAGTGAAGAAGAAGAAGAAGAAGAAGAAGGAAGAGCCCAAAATGCCATGGGGGCGGCCAAAACCTACCCCAGGCCTCTCCCCATCTGAAGTGCGCGATAGGAAAAAGGTCAACTATGATAACCTCTGCAATTGGTGCCGCGGAGAAGTGAAATTGCATAAGTATATCGGATATATCTGCTATCACCAGCCCGCCCTATGACACGCTTACACCTGAAGAGCCGGGTGTGAAACCATACATCTGAAGGGCCGGACGCCCGGTTGGCCACTGGAGTCCGGTTGGCCCCCGGATTCCGGTTGGCCACCGGATTCTGGTTGGCCCCCAGAGTCCGGTTGGCCCCCGGATTCTGGTTGGCCCCCGGATTCCAGTTGGCCCCCGGATTCCGGTTGGCCCCCGGATTCCGGTTGGCCCCCGGAGAGCGATTGGCCCCCGGAGACCGGTTGGCCCCCGGAGACCGGTTGGCCCCCGGATTCCGGTTGGCCCCCGGATTCCGGTTGGCCCCCGGGGTCTGGTTGGCCCCCGGGGTCTGGTTGGCCCCCGGAGTCCGGTTGGCCCCCGGATTCCGGTTGGCCCCCGGATTCCGGTTGGCCCCCGGATTCCGGTTGGCCCCCGGATTCCGGTTGGCCCCCGGAGTCCGGTTGGCCCCCGGAGTCCGGTTGGCCCCCGGAGTCCGGTTGGCCCCCGGAGTCCGGTTGGCCCCCGGATTCCCCCCCGGATTCCGGTTGGCCCCCGGATTCCGGTTGGCCCCCGGATTCCGGTTGGCCCCCCGGAGGCCCCCGGAGTCCGGTTGGCCCCCGGAGTTCCGGTCCGGGGCCCCCGGAGTCCGGTTGGCCCCCGGAGTCCGGTTGGCCCCGGAGTCCGGTTGGCCCCCGGAGTCCGGTTGGCCCCCGGAGTCCGGTTGGCCCCCGGAGTCCGGTTGGCCCCCGGAGTCCGGTTGGCCCCCGGATTCCGGTTGGCCCCCGGATTCCGGTTGGCCCCCGGAGTCCGGTTGGCCCCCGGAGTCCGGTTGGCCCCCGGAGTCCGGTTGGCCCCCGGATTCCGGTTGGCCCCCGGAGTCCGGTTGGCCCCCGGATTCCGGTTGGCCCCCGGAGTCCGGTTGGCCCCCGGAGTCCGGTTGGCCCCCGGAGTCCGGTTGGCCCCCGGAGTCCGGTTGGCCCCCGGAGTCCGGTTGGCCCCCGGAGTCCGGTTGGCCCCCGGAGTCCGGTTGGCCCCCGGATTCCGGTTGGCCCCCGGATTCCGGTTGGCCCCCGGAGTCCGGTTGCCCCGGAGTCCGGGGTCCCCGGAGTCCGGCCGATGCTGAAGTTTAGCTCACTGCAGGACCCCATGATGCTAAAGTGGACTCGACGATGCTGAAGTTTAGCGCTTTCCTGGACCGCACGATGCTGAAGTAGGTCTCCTCTCTGTTGGGTCCTCCCTCAGATGTGGCAAGGTTGGTCTCCTCCACAGACGGGTAGGCTGCTCCCTACCTCACAGTTCCTCTCTTGGTCAGACAGGATTCAGCGAATGTCGCCTGTCCTCACACTGGGATATTGGTCCACTTCTCGTCTACCGTAGACGTGTAGTACAACTGATTCTCCCCAGGAGTTGTTGTCTCTGGTACATTGGACCAGGACTCTGCCACCCGAGCCCCTCACTGCCGGAACAGTCCGCAGGTTGCACCTCAACCCCCCAGTGCCGCCTCTCCCGACACACAGACCCCACCTCAGACAACAGACACACAGACCCCACCTCAGACCCCACCAGAGACAACGGTGATTTTCAGATTGCTGGATTTTGTTGATATTGAAAGTTATTGGTTTGGCGTTTTTTCTTTCGACTTTTTAAAGGTTTTATTGACAACAAATTCAGGGAATCAAAATTCAACAATGGGGACCCTTGACGGCTGAGTGGACAGCGCTCGGTATTCGTAGTCCTAAGGTTCCGGGTTTGATCATCGGTGGAGGCGGAAACAAATGGGCAGAGTTTCTTTCACCCTGATTTTCCTGTTCACCTAACAATAAATAGGTTCCCTGGAGTTAGACAGCTGCATATACGATCGAAAAGCAACGTTCTTTGTATAAGAGGACAGGATGCCAAGATGGACGTGCATCTGGATCTAAATCTCAGCTTGGCCATCCATGAAGTGAGTGAAACGTTTGGGCTCACGTCGTGGTGGTTGCATCGTGACTCCTGTGGGGAGGCTCCGGAACCTCTCTCTGATGTCCTTGGTTATCACAGCTAAAGTATGTTGTTAATGAATGACTCTCTCTCTCTCTCTCTGTCTCTCTCTCTCTCTGTCTCTCTCTCTCTCTCTCTCTCTCTCTCTCTCTCTCTCTCTCTCTCTCTCTCTCTCTCTCTCTCTCTCTCTCTCTCTCTCTCTCTCTCTCTCTCTCTCTCTCTCTCTCTCTCTCTCTCTCTCTCTCTCTCTCTCTCTCTCTCTCTCTCTCTCTCTCTCTCTCTCTCTCTCTCTCTCTCTCTCTCTCTCTCTCTCTCTCTCTCTCTCTCTCTCTCTCTCTCTCTCTCTCTCTCTCTCTCTCTCTCTCTCTCTCTCTCTCTCTCTGTCTCTCTCTCTCTCTGTCTGTCTCTCTCTCTCTCTCTCTCTCTCTCTCTCTGTCTCCCTCTCTCTCAGTCTGTCTGTCTGTCTGTCTCTCTCTCTCTCTCTCTCTCTGTCTCCCTCTCTCTCTCTGTCTCCCTCTCTCTCAGTCTGTCTGTCTGTCTGTCTGTCTCTCTCTCTCTCTCTCTCTCTATAAATAAATAAATAAATATGTTTATTCAGGTAAGGTACATACATACAAGTAATGTTACATTAATGGATCGATATATAGATAGAGCTAGTACATACAATGCCTAAAGCCACTATTACGCAATGCGTTTCGGGCAGGAAAAACATTAATATCTAGAACTTAATACTAATTGAGCATAAAGAATAAAATGTGTTGAGAACAAATACAAATAAAGATAAAAAAGGGGGAACATGACTGAAAAAGCAGCACAAATACAATAGGTTGACAAACAGTGTTGATTAAAAAAAATAACAGACATGGGTTGACAATAGAGGGGTAAGGTAGGTTACAGGGAATTTATTAGGTAGTGTTTAGTTACTGGTTGACAACCCGTTCTCGCACTTTCGTATAGTCAATATTGACTTATTAAATAAGTGCATATGTGACATACTAATTTATTGTGAATATTTTAGTTTACCTTGAAAAGCTTCATAGAAAACACCGACCTTACCTAACCTTCTTAGTATGTTAAGATAAGCATCTTATTGCTTCGTAATTACAATTATTACTTAACCTATTATAGGTATAGGTTAAGTAATAATTGTAATTACGAAGCAATAAGATGCTTATCTTAACATACTAAGAAGGTTAGGTAAGGTCGGTGTTTTCTATGAAGCTTTTCAAGGTAAACTAAAATATTCACAATAAATTAGTATGTCACATATGCACTTATTTAATAAGTCAATATTGACTATAAGAAAGTGCGAGAACGGGTTGGATTAGAGGATTTATTGCCAAACAGAATATAAAACGTTTTGTCAATGTTAAGGGTGAGTTTGTTGGCGGTTAGCCAAAGATGGACTTTCTCTAGCTCAGTATTTACTGTGGCATTTAGAGCAAGGGGGTCAGGACTGGAGTAAATGAAGGTTGTGTCGTCAGCAAATAGAATTGGTTTGAGGTGTTGGGAGGCATTTGGAAGGTCATTAATGTAGATAAGAAAGAGGAGAGGGCCAAGTATGCTGCCCTGAGGAACACCAATGTTGATGGGTAGGGTGGGAGAAATTGTATTATTCACAGAAACATACTGGAGCCTGTCAGTAAGATAAGATTTGAGGTATTGCAGGGAGTGTCCTCTGACTCCATAATGATGTAATTTAAGAAGAAGGTTTTGGTGGTTGACAGTGTCAAAAGCCTTACGCAGGTCCACAAATAACCCAACAGGAAACTCCTTTTTATCAAGAGCTGCGTGAATTAAGTTAATCATACTAATAAGTGCATCGTTAGTGCTTTTTTGGGTCTGAAGCCATATTGACAAGAGCTAAGTATATTGTGTTTGGCTAGAAAAGAGTAAAGCTGCTTGTAGATTAGTTTTTCGAATATTTTTGACAAGTTAGGCAGGATTGATATAGGTCCGTAGTTGTTAACATCTGTGAGATCACCACATTTGTGGACAGGGGTTACTCTTGCTTTTTTTTTAGAATGTCAGGAAAGGTTTGGAGTTCAAGTGAATTGTTGAAGAGCAATGCAATAGCAGGGGCTAGAGATCTGGAGGCTTTTTTGTAAATTAAAGTTGGTATCTCCTCGAGGGCACTAGACTTGGTTTTAAGGGAAAGGATTATTTCATTGACATCAGTGGAACTAGTAGGCTTTAGGTACAGAGACTGTGGATAGTTACCTGTAAGATAGTCCTTAACATCAGTACAGGAAGATGGAATATCATTTGCAAGGGATGACCCAATGGAAGAGAAGAACCTATTGAACTCAATAGCAGAATCAGAGGCTGAAAGCTGACCAGCGTTATCGCAAAGGAGTGTTGGTTTATTATTTAAAATCTTCTTTGATCCCAATATTTGTGAAATTGTGCTCCAAGTTTTTTTAATGTTGCTCTTTATTTGGGTAAATTTATCTTCATAGTATTTAGTTTTGGCTCGTCTAATTATTTTAGATAGCAATAACGAGTAATTCTTTGAGAATTCTTTGGAGACTGTTCCTAGACTATACTTCTTCTCAAGGTCGTGTTTTTTGTTAATGGATTTAAGTATTCCCTTTGTAAGCCAAGGATTGTTAAGTCTTTTGCTTGTGACTTGTTTTTTGCTTGTGACTTACATCACTATACTCCACACACTTATATCACTATACTCTACACACACTTACATCACTATACTCTACGCACACTTACATCACTATACTCTACGCACACTTACATCACTATACTCTACACACACTTATATCACTATACTCTACACACACTTACATCACTATACTCTACACACACTTACATCACTATACTCTACACACACTTACATCACTATACTCTACACACTTATATCACTATACTCTACACACACTTACATCACTATACTCTACACACACTTACATCACTATACTCTACACACTGTCACGTGGGGGGTGGGCCGGGCCGGGGCTCTGCTAACACTCGGCTGCTAGGGGCTCAAAAGGCCCAAATACTCAGCCCCTCCGACTCCCGGGATTTACCAGAGTCTCCTTGGTCACACAAGAGAGGACCAACAATGCCCACCTCCGCAGGTCTTTGCTTCCACCGCAAAAGGGGGTGCCACTGATTCACCCTGGAAGCCCTTCAGTCAAACACGGGGAAACTGCTGTTAACAGTTCCAGCCTAGACCCGTGGAGGAGTGAAGGAAAACTCAGGCTTACCTTATAATAATAACCTCCCTGAGTCTTGCCTGCCAGACAAAGAGGTTGCAGGAACTCCTTTCCCGCCTGTCTTCTCTATCTTCTTCTTAGCAAGGTCGCCAGCTGGGTTATTATATCTGCACCCCAGCAATGCAGTTCAGTGGGTGTATTATATATTGTTTGTAGCCAGAAGATTGCTACTCCCATAGATCTGTGTTTACGGCCCTCTCGGGACGCAACGGGGTTCTTACTCTGATGTTATTAGAGGAAGATATATATCCGACCCCAAGCCAGTAGTGACTATCAAGGGACGTGATCCGTGACGCAAGTAACTTAAAGGGGAGTAGGGAAAGAAAGGCAAAAACTTAATATAATATATTAACCACCACCACCATTTAAATATATATATAAAAGGAGTACACAAAGGGGAGGGATATTAATGCTATGACAAGGGGATTATTCACTGTATCTTCTGTTGAAGACTCTGCTGCCACACCACTTTCGGTGCCGATTCCTCTCGGTGCTTTCTTCGTGGCCTTAAGACGTGTCCTCTGAGAACGCCGAGCCTACCCTGGCCACAGGTCAGCCACAACACAGGTCCACTGGGGGCACCGTCGTGGAGGCCGTCAACCACACGTCCAGCAGGTCTGCTGGCAGGTACTGAGCCACCAAGGCTGGTACGGCCACTCCACGAACAATAAAAGGGGTACGCCCTAGACAGGAGTCTCGTGTGATATCACAAATCACCCTCCTGTCCTCAATACCCCAGTGGATTATCGTCTCCAACCGTCGGTCCCGGGTAAATCCTTTCACTGCCACTCCACTGGCAGGCTTAACACACCACAGTGTTCTTCCGGGGGGACGACGTCACAACAGCTGCAGCAAACTTCACAGTATGGAGACTGGCTGCCTCTGGTAGACTGACTCCACCTTCAACAC